TCTAAACCATAGAAAAATCAAATTTCACATGTTTTTTCTTCTAATAACAAGTTTTTGATTAATAATGTTGACAACATTAATTTCACTTGGTTTTAAGTATCCTTCTCTATTCTTTATTTGTAAACATTTCCAATCTCCATTTCTTTTTTGAATCTCATTGTATTCATCAATAGACATTTCATATTCACACAGATGAACATCTATATTCAACACAACATCATTTCTATGGTAATGGTGTTGAGTATGGATATTAGGAAAGAATTCTTCCATTCCTGATGTAATTGCAATTGGATTATAATGATAAAAAGTTAAAATTTTATTGTATTTAGTACACACCATAATCAGTTTAATGAAATCATTTTTAGAATGAAAATAACATCCAACAATGACCATTTCAAACAAACTTAATTTAGTTTTCATTTTTCTTATATCTTTTTTAGTTTAGAGTTTCAGATTCATTAGAAAATGTTGATACAAATACTCTAACATCATTGTTCTGATTCTTGTCATCAGTAACTATGGTTTGATCAAATGATAACAATCATTTGTGATTCCACAATAACCAAAAACATATATCAAATCTCAACAAAACATTAAACTACTTTTTATATTCTAATTAATTAGATTATTCTTTACTATAATGACTAAAAAAACAAAGTGATAATGACAAGAATTGTTGTTTGTTCATTTAATTTAACAACATATAAATAATACAAAATACACTATAAAACAGAGTATTTATCAAAGAAAGAATGGTCATAATAATTAATAAAGAATTAATTGTTCAAAAATCTATTTAATATTAGTACAAAACATATTTTGTTGTATGATTGATAAATATCGTTGGAATTAAATGAAATTAAATGAAAGAAAGACATTATATAAGAGAAATAAGAAAGATAAAATAAAAAGAAGATAAAAGAAGAGGATAAAAGGGAAAGAAACGATATGAAAGACAGTTTGTGTTATTAGTTAGTTGTAAAAAGGATAGTCTTAAAATAGACTTTGTAAAAAAACGGTTTATGCTTATTTCCTCTGAACTTAAAATTTGTTGAGTGAAGAGAGCATCTATGGGAATCCTCTTTAGTAAAAAGATAAAAGAAAATAAGGAGACAGAAGAAGAAAAAGAAGAACGAATCAAAAAAGAAGAACATCAGGGAATTGGGAAGTTATTTAAAGAAAAAGAACTCATGGAATGTATTGAAAGAATGAAAAATACATTAGAAGAATGGAGTGGTTATTCAAAAACAAGAATTATATTTGATAGTGATGAAATGGAATATAAAGAACTTGGAGAAAAAGTAAAAGGAAAATCTCATTTATATTTTATAAATATTTCAAATGATGGAACAATATTTGGATATTATTGTAATGAATGTATTAAAAAAATTGATCAAACAATAATTTTTCAAACAAATACAAATTTTATTTTTCGATTAGTTAATTCAAAAGATCTTAATGATAATCCTAGAAGATGGTATTTTGATTTACGTCCAGAACATGAAGATTATGTTGATTGTATTAAAATTTATGAAAATGATAAATATACAGTTTATGAAGTAAATTTTTGTGGATTTAAAATAGCAAAGAAAGGTACAAATTTAAGTTATTATGATCATATTGAAGAATGTCATTCACCAAAAGATATTGGTAATGATAGGATTAATTATTATAAAGATGAATGGACAAAATCAAATAAACATTTTGATACTGAACGAATTATAGTTGTTGAAATGCAATAATTTATTTTTTTCATTTTTTTTATTTTTTTTTAATAATAATAGAATTTTATAAAATTATAATGAAATAATTAATAAAATAAAAATTAAAAAATTAAAAAATTTAATTTAAAGAATGTTAGATATAACTTTTTCATGAAGTACTTTATCTTTATATTTTAAAGTAATTTGATCTAAAATAGTTTTAATTTCTTTTTTTGCTTTTATAATATCTTCTTCATTCTTTCCTTCAATCAATAAATATAATTTACTTTGTCCTGGTAAAAGAGTTTTTCCTTCTCCAATATAACTTCCTCTAGTTGTAATATTAACATTACAATTTTCCATAACATTTATTAATTTTTCTTTACTTGTTAAAACTTGTCTTGCTTGAATAGAAAAATCATTAATTTCAATTTTACATTGAAATCCATTATTTGTAATTTTTGTCATTCTTTTATTAATACGTTCAATCATTTGAAGTGCTTTTTGAACCATTTCTTGTTTTTCTTTTGGAATATTACTTTCTTTAATTTCTTCTTTCATTTTTTTTTCTTTAAATCTTTCTTTTAATTTTATTCCTCCTCCAATATCTTCTTCCATATATCCTCCAATTTTATTTTCCATTGTTGTAATTTCTTCTTTAATATCAAATTTAAATCCATTTCCTCCATATCCTTTTTTTCCTTCTTTTGTTTCTAAAAAAAGTTTCTTTGTTTTCCATTCTTCATACATATCATTAAGTTCTTTACTAATATTTCCTCCTGAAAGAGTTAATGCTTTAACAATATCTTCACTATATTTTTCTTCTTCTTTTGTTATAAATGTTATTGCTTTACCACGTTTTCCTGCTCTACCTGTTCTACCAACTCTATGAACATAATCTTCTAAATGATTAGGACAATCATAATTAATTACTAATTCTAATCCTTTAATATCTAATCCTCTTGCACATAATGATGTAGTAATTAATATTGTTCTACCAATTCCACTCTTAAATTCTTGTATTGTATTTTGTCTATCAATTTGATCAATTCCTCCATGAAGTAATAAACAATTAATATTTCTTTCCATTAAATTTTGATATAATTCATCACAATTTTTTTGTGTCTCTGTAAAAATAATTATTCTTCCTCCTTTATTATTTTGTTCTAAAACAATTGAAATTAATCTTGCTATTTTTTTCTTTATTTCAATTACTTCTACAATTTGTTCTATTGTATTTGATACTTGTGATCTTCCTCCACAAATAATTTCAATTGGTTTTTTTAAAAATTCTCGTGCATGTTGTTCTACTGAAATTGGAAATGTAGCTGAAAACATAACAATTTGTTTATCTGGTCTAATTCCTTCAATAATTCGTTTAATTTGAGGTCCAAATCCCATATCAAACATTCTATCTGCTTCATCTAAAACTACAAATGTAACTCTTCTTAAATTTGTAATTCTTCCATTATTAGTAACTAGAATATCAATCATTCTTCCTGGTGTACAAACAACAATTTCTGTTCCTCTTTTTAATGCTCCAATTTGATTTGAAATTCCTGTTCCTCCAAATACTGCAACACTTCTAATATTTAAATATTTCCCAAATTTATTAATTTCTGTATTAATTTGTTCTGCTAATTCTCTAATTGGTGCAAATACAATTCCAATTGGTCCTTCCCCTTTAGAAAGAGGTCTTTGTGCCATAACATCTAATTGGTTAATTTTTTTTTATTTCTTTTTATCATTCTTTCTTATTCTCTTTTTCTTTTACATATATTCTTCTATGTTTTTGAATATCTTTCTCACTAATTATATACATATATATATATATCTTTTTATATACATCAAAAAACAAACGTTTTATTAATGGTATTGTATATGCTAGTGTTTTTCCTGATCCTGTTTTTGCACATACTATTGCATCATATCCTGACATTATCACAGGAATAGCTTGTCGTTGAACTGGACTTGGTTTTTCATATTTTAATGCTTTAATAACATCCATTCTATTTTATTATTTCATTTGATTCATTATAAAAAAATTATTCTAAAAACAAACGTAATTGGATTTATTCCACATTCTGACCATGTTTTAATTGGTTTAGGA